ACCCCCCCCCCCCCCCCCCCCCAAAAAAAAAAACCACCCCATCCCTGCAGCAGGCACACGAAGAGTGCAGGCATCCAAGAGTCCGCAGAGGTCACATAGTCTTGCCGAGGCTGTGAATGGTGCACCCAACCGTCGTCGAAACGAGGCCAAGGACGCCTTGCAGCGCGGCACACTATTCAAACCACAAAACGAGACGTCAACAGGTGCAAACCCCCATGCGAATGTGTCGGCTCTCCCGGGGGTCCAACGCACCCTACCCTGCAGTAGACGTGGCGGTGACACGGCTTTGATATTGCTTTTCTTTTTGTGCTTTTTTCTTGTCCGTTTGCTTTCGCTTTTCTTCTTTCTGTTTTCTTCGTTTAGCTCCGGCTTAGAGTGCTAAGCCGCTGCCCAAGCCACCTCGGCCAAGCCAGTCGTATCTCCAAGCGGACTTGCAGATGATTGGTTAGGGTTGGTCTTGGCACCGATAGGAGCCGGCCGATGTCGCCTCAACAGACGCCCAAGAAGCATGCCAGGACAGACCCGGGAGCCGCCTGCGTTTACCTCGCGCTACGATGAAAAAATAAAAAGCTACCCTTCCAAGACTGAAAATCGTACCATGGCAGCATAGCCAAGACAAAATATCAGATTTGACCGATTGTGAGACGCCTAGGTCTTGTGGGCTCGGCAGAGAGGGCGGGTGAGGATGACAGCAAATGAGACCTGATGAATGGGGGCTGCATCTACAGTACTAGCCAAACCGTCGTCTCAATGGACTGCATTTGGCTTTTCCCCAGCCTGGCAGTCCAGGTCGATCAGTAACGTATCAAAAGACACCCCAATGTCGATCGGTAACCCCCTCCAAAACAAGTACATGCGCATGTGACGATAAGATCTTTCCGATAATGAAGACCATTGGGCGGTCCCTTGGAATAATACATTCCATTATGTGACTACCCCTCATCCGTTTTGGTCTTCCGGCGTCGTGCCCCCACACCGTCTCTGTTGGACGAGTACAGCCTTGCCGCCGCGGCCGCCGCGGTTCAACAGCCGGACAGCTGTGCGTGTATTACGGTTGCGGTTCCACCCATCTGCCCTCCCTTGGACAGCGATCCTGATCCGAGCCTATGACACGTCTCACCTCCAAATCCGCGAGAAGCGCAAGTGGCACGAGGGGTCGCCATGATTCCACTTTCAGGAACGATCAAGGACAACATCTGGCGCGTAGACCGGCTATACAGTGAGTGCAGTGTATACATATATTGTTTGTCGTCTCGGCTGCCAAGTCTGGGCTCTGTGGACATGCCCTTATAGACCAAAGCTGGTGCTGGTTTTAGCAACATGAAGTTAAATAGCCAGAGGTGCACCCGTGACGTGCTAGATGAAGTGGAGCGATAGAAGACATGGTGAGCGGCAGTCTTTCACCAATGGAAACTTCCATGGCCTCCTGCCCTTGCGCTCCCAGAGACTATGGGTTTTCGAGTTATCAGGCAAGGACTGGGTCGCGGGCTTCATGCCGGCATGGTATCACGCCGAGCATTCCAGAGGCTGCGGTAGCCCGGCTAGCTGTCGCTAGGCTGGCTTGCTACTCTACTCGGAGCCGGACTTTGGGGGCCTGAACGAGCCCTGAACAAGCGTTGAATAAACACACCTTGATGGATATCTTGATAGGTCTGGTGCCAGCACATTTGGCGGATGCTCGAAGCCAAACATCCCAAAAATGAAACTCTCCTTGTTTACTCATGTTTGCTACTATCATGCCCTGTCAGCCCTTCCCTTCCCGGGCCGCTCTCTTTTCCCTGGACCCGTGCTCTTGTTCATCGCCCTCGTTGCTATGCCAAGGCAACGTCTTGACCCGGAGCAACCCATGCCTCTTTTTTCCGAGACGACAATTCCATTACCTTGTGATCGCCGTTTTAGGATCTCCTTATCAAAATGAGAGTGTTGAATGCCACCAGTTCACGGCTTGCAGGTTCGGTGGCAGATCATATCCTATTCCCCTCGCGCCTTTCGAGCCTCACAACTGGTCACCTTTGACCCTCCCGGAGGGGGTCGTGCTAGCCAGCAGGGGATGTCGTAGCCTCAACCTCCTAACCATCTTGTGTACAGGCATGGCTCTTTTGCAGGCGCAGAGACAGATGTCCATGGAGAATTATGCGTTCGGTGCACGCGAATATAACTCACCTGGGCAGCTTGATATCTGCGTGGTCCCAGAGACTGCACTGTGGTGGGCTCGGAAGTCGCAGAGATCGGCTGCCCTAGTTCCTATACCAGAGGATCTGATGGCCATCTGAGCTCTGGGTCAGCTAGCCCAGCTGTCCCCCAAAAGACCGCCAGGAAACGAGAAGGCGGTAACTCCTCCCCTGATAAGCTCGGTTTGGTGCAGATGCTTCCGTGCCCGGGGATAGTGGCGTGGTCTAGGTGGTACGACGTAAGCTCTGCGCCTTGGACCCCACGGTCCCCGGGGGGAGGTCCCGGGTTCGAGCCCCCGCGGGGGTGGAACCCGGGACCTCCCTTACTCACATTCTTTTTTTCTTCTTTTTGTCCTAACCACGCCCATTAAGAAAGAGCCTACCTATACTGCGCCTGCTCCCGTTTGGCTAATGTTTCTTGTTTGGCTTTGTAATCCGGCTTGTGAAAAGGGCATCGTTTTAATTGCCTCCGCGCGCGCGTATAACATAACATCACCATTGTCCATCATCCAAGCATCCCCACACACCCAGCCACACCATTGCCTGCTTATAGGACACTGGTGACTTCATTTTGCCAAAGCGCTAGATTTGAAGCAAATCGTATGCTGAAAACGAGCACCAGATTCGAGCCACGCTTGTCCGAACGATATCATAACGGCATCGGTCTGGACAGCAAGATATACTGGCAACAGAAAACAATGACAAATATACAAATCAGGCATTCGGCAGTTCGATGCAGGGGAAGCACAGCCCTGGAGAGCCGCACACTATCTGGTGGATGCTACCTGTGACATGACAACCAAAGAAGCGACTGCCTCTGCTTTTGTCTTCCACACCTCGTCCCATGTCCAGAGCCACGAACGTCACCCTTGACCTAAAATCCGGGGTAGAAGGACGGAGGCATGTCCCGTTTCCAGTTGGACCTGAGATGAAGCACCCTGCAACCCAACCATTACCTTGGCCTCCCGCTAGTTGAGCCCAACGACAGAGGTCTCTTTCAGGACGGAGGACTTTCTGTCAAGATCTCTAAGCACCGAAACGAACGCGGAGTAAATCAAATACTCTGCGGAGTTGGCGGTCACGGACGCAACTCGATTTTCTCCCCACAACCCAGGATCAAGGATGGCATGACGGACTGACTTTGTCGAGCAGCTGCGCAGCAAACAACCCACAGTGTGGGGACAGTGTTTTGGGAAAACTCACGGGGCGGTAACAGTGGGTCGTGCACGGTGAAGGGAGTGTGCGGAGTCAGGAATGGTCTCATTGGGGTAGGGCCTGGCGAGGTTGCGTCGTTGTGAGGTGAAGGTCACCTAAGGGTGCGTGAGATCCGGCTGGAAAGGCCTAGCAGTGATGTCTCCTAGCATGTATGTGCTGTGCCCGTCATCGCCGTCAGGTTTGCGTTCTTGAAGCCTCAGGAATTGCTTTGGCACAGTGCCTCGGCTACGCAGCCGTCGGTGTAGCCGTCGAGTCCCAGCAATGCAGAATGCAGGCAGAGAGCTGGCTGCCAGTCGGATGTTCCATCCGCTGCCAGGAGGGCTTAGGTAAACGGTTTCCGTCTGGGGCCTGCAGCTTCTGATTCGTTCGCCGCCTCATGTACGACACCAGCCGGGAAGAGGATCATCGATCTTCCTCTCCCCCAACCTCACTCGATGGGGCAGCTCTCCGGCCCTCTGAGCTTTTGCGACCAGACCTGCGCGCGCGCAACGCAACCTTCCTGACGCTTGTTTCTCCGCCTGCCAACTCTGCTGCCCTGCTCCTCTGCTTTCTTCCCATCCATCCACCCGTCCCTCCATCAAGCAGCCAGCCAGCTCGCCCATCTAGCACAAGGACAATTCCATCGCCATCCCTATTCTTTATCAAGTGCACGTCTCAATCGCACAACAGCCCCCCGCTTTGTCGCAGCTGATTCGCCCCCCTCTCGTTGCGACTCGCCGAGCCAATCACGCTACGTCATCGGCTTCAACCACCAACCATGGCCGAAGCTCCAGGTGAGCTCCCACTCCCTTTTGCGCGCGCCCGTGATGGCTGCAAATTTCGCAATTGGATAGCCTGGGTGCTCTGTGATGGCGTCGCAGCTTTTATGATGGGCTGCCCTGATGGTGGTTGCCTTTATTGATGGCCCTGCGCGGCGCATACGCAACGCAACGCCTGACTCGGACCCGCTCGTAGTCCGCATGCGCCTACTGTCTCTTCAAAAACGAAAGCTTGACGGGGTGCTACGAACAGGTCGCTAACAGCCATCGTTTGATCGCATTTGTAGCTGTCCCCAGCGCGCAGGCAGTCTCTGCGCCAGCCGTTGCGCCTGCAGCTGATGCCGCGGCCCCCGTGGAGAAGCCGGCGGCAACTGCCGACAACACCAACCCGGTGATTGAGGCCAAGTTCGAGCCGACCGAGAATGCCATGAAATCAGAAGCCGCCGTGGCAGCCGCCGCCCCGGAGCTCACTCCCGGAACCAGCGCCAACGGCAAGCCGAACGCCGAGGAGGGCGAGGCGGCCAAGGATGACGCTGCCACGGCAGATGCGGGCGAGAACAGCGCTCCGGTCGCCGAAGCAGCGGGTGATGCACCCAAGGAGGCGAACGCCCACGAAGCTGCCAAGGACAAGGAGAACAAGTCTTCCACGACGGAAGCCACATCGGAGGCGGCCCAGCCCGAGGAAGCTCCCACCGCCCTGGCTGCAACCAACGGAGCGACATCCTCGGATAAGGACGCCAAGGCCGGCGACAAGCGGTCGGCGGAGACCGTCGAGGCCGAGGCCGACACCAGCGCGGACGCCGCCGCCGCCGCCACCACCAACAACGGGCCCGTCTCCAAGGTCAAGGCAGCAGTCAAGAAGGCGGCCGAGCCCCTGGCCAAAAAGGTCAAGACGGACAAGAGCGACAAGGGCGACGTTGACGTCACCATGGCCGACGCGGACCCGGTCGCCGACGAGGCCGCCAAGCCCGTGGAAAACGGCACCAACGGGCTCAAGCGGGCCAAGTCTACCAAGCGCGACAAGAAGCCAGCCGCGCCTGTCGGCAGGACGGAAAGGAAGACAAGGAGTCAGGGCCCCATCTGAGCGGAGGGACGTGGCCTCCCGGTCTTGGACCAGGCGTGTTTCCGAAATTGCTTCTGCGGTGCAAGCGTCGCTCGTGAACGGCGGGCTTCTTGGACAACCTTTCCCGATGTTGAGAGCATGGGTGGCCTTTACTCACCAAGACCAGACATGCCGAAAATTTCCTTTGGTCTCATTTATGTAGTCGTTCTGGACATCGCCTCTCTCCTTGGGTATGTTGGTTCTCTTTATCGCCGTACGGAAACCTCCATAGTCTTTTGGGTTATTTCTTCCCTTCATTATTTCCGCCATCTGTTTATCATGTCTCGGTTTGGGGGAAAACAAAACGGGCGGACTTCGAATTCACAGGACGAGAGATATACGTTTCGATCTGGAGCGCGTCTGGCGCGTCTCCCTTCTTTGATTAGTTGTTCTTTTTGGTTATAGTGTATATACGTGGCTCAATCTATCACGGAAGCCAGGCTGGAAAAGGAAATAATACAAACTAGTCTTGGCCTTAGCCGTTAGCAGGGCTTAGTATTGGTGGAAAGGCGCCGCAATGCGTAAATGGGAATTTCGCAGGCGCAGGGCTGATGTTGGTGGCATGCAGGCGCAACCCTGTCACATTATTCTCGTGCAGCGGGCCGACACATTCGATGTCAACGAAGCATCGTTGCAGACGGAGACATTGTAGATGGTGCCACGGTGCCTGGTGTGTAAACGGTAGCGAGAAGAGGCCAGGCCCGCTGCAGCACCCTGACCTCCATGTAAATCCGTGCTCGTTGCCTCACAGGTCTTACTCCTTGCTTGTGGTGACCAAATAAGCAAAGCGCGGGCTCTCGGACAGCGATACTAGCCCGCCCCTCCGCCGTGGCATCATTCGTGTCGACTCAATACCGGGTCTGGGCTGTGTTCAAACTGGAAGTGGAATTTCATGTGCCGATATCTCGGTGCATTAAATATCTCAAGATCTGCCAGCCACCCCCCTAGGCTTTCGCAGGAGGGAATAACCAAACAGATTTCAAACCACGAATAAAAAAAAATTAAATGAGGGGGTTTTTTTTATAAAAAAAATACAAGTATATCAAGTGTGAGCGCGGCTCTTTTCTATGCAAGGTTTACAAAAACTCGATTTTATTCCCTTCATTTGTTACGGCGGCGCTGAGAACTTTTTGCTGCCAGACGATTTTTTGGGCGACGTGCTGGCCAAGGTGGCATGGTTCAGGGGCAGACAGTATTGGGCGTGCAGTGGCACCTGCAGGCGGCACAGCACAAGCGCATCCACCGATCCGTCGCAGTAAGGCGTGTGGGCTTTTTTTTTTGTCTGCCCGCCGATCACTTACTCCAACACTTCGCCATCAGGATGTGCCGTCTCAACAGTGACAACAGGCGCTGTGCATTTCCAAATCCGATCGCACGGCGAGGCGAAGGACACACACAGGGCAAGCGTCAGGGACGAATCAGGGCACCTGCCAGGCCAGGTGCATGAACGACCCAACGCCATGGATTTGCAGCTCGTATTGAGATCTGGGGGATCCATCAATTCCCCTTTTCTCCCAGCAACCCGGCCTGTCCGGCACATGGGTGGGTGGCGACAAAAATAGCCAAACGCCATCTAGACCAGGTTTTTTTTTCTCTCGGCCCCTTGGTGTCCAAGTCTAGGCCCCTCTCCTGCTCAGCTGGCCCTCAACGTTCCATGCCAGTCCAGGCCCCACGCGACGTGTGCGCACAGGTGCGTCCCTCCAATGCGAAGCGTTGCACACGCCGATAGTGATTAGTGCCAAAACGGCGCCCGCTCCACGAGGCTGGCTGCCTCCCGAAAGGCCCGGTCGCTCCCGGCCAAAACGGCGTGTGAAGGGGATCCGCTGGCGCCAGAGCCAATCGAACCGTCTGTTCGCTGTGTTTACGGAGCTGCCTAGCAACACGACTGCGTCATGTCCCTCTGCACGTCCCACTGTTTTGCTCTGCTTGGTGCGTAACCCTTTTTTTTTTCGTTCTTTCCCCTCCAGATAGAGAAGGTGGGAAGAAGAGAAACATTGGCCGTTCCATGCCTGCCAGCGCAACTTGAGCCGGTCCACTCCCTGCGCGTGCAGTCTTGGGAGGGATACCCTGGAAAAACCCACATGTCCCTCGTTTTGATTCCCAGTCACTCCCTGGAAGTCATGCCGGCAACCTGAAGTCCTATTCTCTTACCCATCGCGGCTTGCCACAACAGCTATTTTGACACTTGTTTTGCGTCCCGAGCCTTTTGTCTTTTTACTTCTTTCACCCCTGCGTTGCTCGTCGGGCAATCCTATTCCGTCACTGCCGCGGTTCAGGGTCCACAGCTTACTCTTCCCGACGTTCCATCCATCCTTGGCTTTCTTTTTTGGCCTGATGGGATCGTACGTGCACGCGGGATTTTACCTAAGCATAGCCTCCCCCGGCCCCTGTTTCCGCCATCTGACAAAGTTCTGTGCCTGGCAGCGCTTGTCGCCATCGTTTGTTCCTCCTTTGTGCATCCGCCTTCACTCGTTTGCAGCGGTACACAGCCCTCACCTTCTTTTCGCCCGTGACTCTGTGGCTGTCTTCCTCTTTGTCCTGCCTCCGATTCCGACGCCCTAAACGTTGGCCACCTCCAGCTCAACCGAGAGAGGTCGACCTAGGACCCAAGACACGCGGCCTCCGGAAAAGGAGAGTGACAGAAGAGACAGAACGCAGCGAACCACCTATCGCGAATATCTTGAAGAGTCATTGGACGAGGCTTCGAGGCGCGCCTCGCCTGTGCTGCTGGGGCTTTCCCGATCGACCATCTGCCCTTATCGGGCCCCGCGATCGGCAAGATGGAAGCCCTCGTACGAGTGATTCCTGAGCTGGTAGCCAGGCAAGCACCCGACGACTCTGCGCAGGAGTTCCTGAAGCTGCTACGGAACCCCTTCAACACCCTGGTGAGTAGATCCCACATATATGCAGTCGTGGATTTCCGACTGAATGTACTGGGTCTCCTAACCAATTCCCGTGCTTCGTAGCTGCAAACCAAATCGTTGGTGTACTCCTTAGGTACCTCGATCGGCATCACTGCGGGCATTGCGCTCACCTTCTCACTCCTCCGACCGTACAACGGCGTCGTATACGCCCCGAAACTCAAGCATGCCGACGAGGCACATGCACCACCACCCCTGGGGAAGGGCATCTTCGCCTGGGTCGTCCCCTTGTGGAAGACGGACGAGAAGGACTTGATACGCCTCGTAGGCCTGGACGCTGCCTTGTTCATACGCTTTACCAGGATGCTGAGGAACTTGTTCTTCATCCTCGCCGTCGTTGGTTGTGCCGTCCTCATCCCCATCAACATGTCGAAAAGCACCGACCAAGACTGGATCATGAAGATCACCCCCCGTGCCACCGGCTTCGGCGCCGGGGCTTTCAACCAATGGCATACGGTTGGATTCGCCTACTTCTACACCCTGACCGTGTGTGGCTTTCTGTGGTGGAACTATAAGAAGGTTCTGGACCTGCGCCGCATCTACTTCCTGAGCGACGAGTATCAGAACAGCCTACACGCCCGGACTCTGATGGTACGTCGGACTGCTCGACGCTCCGTCGCAGAGCCATGTTTGGGTTTTGTGTGACCCGGCGAGAGGACTTGAGCGCCATGTTGAATTGCAAAATTACTGACCAAGTTTTGCAGATGTACGACATCCCCAAAGATAAGGCATCCGACGAAGGAATCGCCAGGGTCATCGATTCGATCGCCCCCAACTCGTCTTTCTCCAGGACCGCCGTTGCTCGAAACGTCAAGGTTCTGCCCGAGCTCATCGCCCAGCACGAGAAAACTGTGCGGAAGCTGGAGGAGGTTTTGGCCAAGTACCTCAAGGACCCCAAGAACCTGCCGCCTAAGCGGCCGCAGTGCAAGCCGTCCAAGAAGGACCGGTCATTCAATACGTATCCAAAGGGGCAAAAGGTCGACGCCATTGACTACCTGACACAGCGCATCAAGGACCTCGAGGTCGAGATCAAGGAGGTCAGGGCTAGTGTCGACAAGCGGAACAGCATGACATATGGCTTTGCCTCGTACTCTGACATCAGCGAGACCCACGCCATTGCCTTTGCGGCTCGCAATAAACACCCCATGGGAACAACCATCAAGCTGGCTCCGAGGCCAAACGACATCATCTGGGACAACATGCCGCTGACAAAGGCAACCAGGAAGCGACGTCGATTTATTATCTCTCTCTGGATCCTTCTGCTGACTATTCTCTGGATCGGCCCTAACGCTTGCATTGCCATGTTCCTGGTCAACTTGAGTAACCTCGGCCAGGTGTGGCCTGCCTTTGGCCAGAACCTCAGAGCCAACCAGGAATTTTGGCAGCTTGTCCAGGGTGTTGCGAATCCTGCCATCACCTCGTTGATCTATATGGCGCTCCCCGTCATCTTCCGGCGGCTATCGATGCGTGCCGGTGACCAGACAAAGACTGGCCGAGAGCGTCACGTCACGGCCAAGCTGTACTCCTTCTTCGTCTTCAACAACCTCATCGTCTTCTGCCTCTTCAGTGCCCTCTGGGGATTCGTCAGCAACGTGGTCGAACAGACCTCCAAGGGCAGAGACGCATTCCGAGTCATTATCCAGGAGGAAGTTGCAATGAGTTTCATGACTTCGCTCTGCACCATATCCCCCTTCTGGATCACCTACATTCTCAACCGTCAGCTCGGTGCGGCTATCGACCTCGCCCAGTTTTGGCCACTGCTTTGGAGTTTTATCCGGCGCAAGTTCTTCAACCCGACACCCCGCGAGTTGATTGAGCTCACCGCTCCGCCGCCGTTCGACTATGCGAGCTACTACAATTTCTTCCTCTTCTACACCACTGTGGCGATATCATTCGCTCCGATCCAGCCCCTGATAATCCCCGCCGCGGCGCTCTACTTTGCCCTAGACGTGGCACTGAGGAAGTACATTCTCATGTACATTTTCGTGACCAAGACCGAGTCGGGCGGCATGTTCTGGCGTGTGCTGTTCAACCGCGTACTTTTCGCGACCTTCCTCAGCCATACGGTCGTATTCCTTATCACCTGGGTGCGCGGTGACGTCTTCAAACGCTACGACTCCATGGCTCTTGGTCCGTTGCCGGTGATCCTGATCATCTTCAAGATTTACTGCCGCAATGCGTTCGACACCAAGATCCACTACTACAGCACCAGGGTTATTGCGAGCCCCGACAACGAGAACGGCATGGCGGTGGGCAAGGAGTCGCACCGCAACGACCGCCTCGCCGCCCGGTTCGGCCACCCGGCGTTGTACAAGCCTCTCGTGACGCCAATGGTCCACGCCAAGGCCCAGAACATCCTCGCCTCGGTTTACCAGGGCCGGCTTTCTGACGGAAGGGAGGCCATGTCTGGCGATACTATGTCTGTGTCGGGATACTCGGATACATACCGCCTGGACGCCATGCAGGCCGGAAAACCGGGCAGGTCCATGGCAGCGATGCCTGGCTTCGAGCTGGTGCCCGAGTCGAAGCTCGACTTTGAGTTCTACAAGAACCGTGACGAGTTCGCCGAGGACCACGGAGGCGGCGAGATCTACAACACGCGCCCGGGCACACCCAGCCTACACAGTGGCGGCCCGGATTCGCGACCATCTACTCCTGTTGGCGGTATGACCGGGCGACGCCAGTTCTCTGCAGCCCAGCCGATGCGCCCTGAGCCCACCTCCCGATCCACCTCGGCCGGTCCTGCCGCCTACGCCCCGTATAACCCGCAGTCTGGTTACAACAGCCCGGGCCCGCAATACCCCGGCCAGCAGTCGCCCTACGGCATGTCCTCTCCGCAGGGCTCATATGGCCAGCCTCCTCAGCAAGCAGCACACGGCGACACGTCACGCACGCGTTCGCCCCTTTATGGGATGGGCACCGCGGCGAACGACAGCGGCTCCAATCTGGTGGGCCACGCCGCCGGCATGCCTCTTTCGCCACCATCAGGGGCTGCCGTCCGTGGATATGCGGGAGGCCACCAGACGCCCTCAACCCCTGGTTCCGAGCTTGGCGGCGGCGGTCACGCCCCTGGGATGCTGGGGGGTGGACCTCAGGGCTATGGAAACCTGCCGCAGGAGGATACCCAAGATCCCATGACTTACGACTACTTTAGAGGCGGCAACAGTTCCAGACGGCGATGATGAAAGATGGACCATCCACCTGGGCTGACCATGGTTTGGCGTTTTTGCAACTTGTTTTTTTCGCATTTCCTTTTTTATTCAGCTACTTTTCTCTCGTAGCACATGATTTGCTACTCATTTCTGTCTGTCTAGCAATTTTCTCGTCTCTCTTTATCACGACATAGACTTGGGCATGAGGTGCACGTTTCTCGTTGCAGATCAAGACTTGAGTCGGTCTCGGATCGCTTCTTCTACAATCTTCTAATACTTGCATCATATCGGCACTTTTTGAGCCAAGCATGCTTGCCTTGCTCGCCTTTTCTGGCCAAAGGATAGAGAGTATGGGTTCCTTCCAGATGGATATGGGTTTTGCACAAATTGAAGAAATTGCCGCCATTATATTGCACCGCGATGAAGTGTCAAGTTTCACCGCCGTTATTGTGTTCTGGAAGCGATGCTGGCGATGGCCTGAGGGATGGTGCCATGATGGGTGAAATAACCCTACTCGAGCCTACATGGGTCACCATGGGCAAATATCAGTCTAGGCTCGACTCCCCCAGGCCGGGGAGTAAGTAGGGTCTTCCGACAGAACACACCGAGTGACACAGGAACACGCATGAATACAACAAGCCATGTATTGTTGTTGATTATTGCCTGGACGGGAGCATGCTAGAATATCGTCGCCGTCTTCTTTCTGGCTTGACGCAAAACACGAGAAAGCAACGACTCCAAGCTAATATTAGTAGTACATTACAACACCCTCCCACACATTACGTGCCCCTCTCCTTCTCCGAATCCCCATTCCTTCACGCAAAATCTTTACAGCAGAACGGCGGCGGCAGCCAGGCCGCCGAGCAGGCCGACGGCGGCGGCGCCCGTCTGGCGCGGGGCGGCCCAAGCCCTCGACGACGAGGTGACGGCAGGAGTAGTGCCGCTGGTGGTGCTGCTGCCTCCGGAGCCGCCGCCCGTGGTGGTGCCGTTGTTGTTGTTGTTGTTGTTATTGTTGCTGTTGCAGACAACCTCGTTCGGCACGGTGACGCCGTTGGCCTGGCACAACTGGGCGGCGAAAGTAATGGCCTTCTTCTGGTCGTCGGCGCCGCAGCCGCCGGGCTTGGCGAGGCAGCACGAGATGTCGCTGATGAAGGACTGGTTGGAGCAGATGCACTTTGGGTCGCGGCCGCAGTTGCCGATGCCGCTCAGGAGGAACTGGTTCGCGCAGTCTTGCTGTTGATGGGGGTGGTGGGTGGATGTTAGTGGTGGAGGTTTGGTGATGGGGGGGTGAGTGGCAAGAAGGGGAGGACCAAGGGAGAACACAAGGTCAACTTACAGCGCACTTGGGCAGGTCGCCGGCTGTTTGCGCGTTGGTGGCGACGGCGAGCGCCAGGGCTGCGAGGACGGCCGAGGTCTTCATTTTCGAGGGTTTGTGTGCTTGGGGTGTCTCTGAGGGATCGATCCGTCGGTGTTTGCGGTTCGTGAGAGTTAAAAGTCCAGGTTGAGGGAGCGTGTGTGTGTGTGAGTGTGTGTGCAAGTTCAAGGAGTGGCGAGTTCCAGAGGCAAGGTTACAAGAGGGGGATGGGGGAACGAATATGTGCTGCTGCACGGGACGGTGCGGTACCTTGCTTGAGAAACTAGCTGGGGAATCGGACCAGGATCTGGGGGGGTTCATTGACAGGGGGTGCTTGCATTCTCGCATTGGGTGGTTGCTCCCCCAGATTGGCGCAGCGAGTGGTCGAACCGCCAGCTGGGCCGGCTCCATTCCTGTGGCCACCCCCCTCTTTCCTTGGCAGTGAAGGAGCTCGAGGGGCGAGAAGGGCCTCTCAGGAGGTGGGCTGGAATAGCCATCGCGTCGATTGGATCGCCCTGCTGCCGCGGCTGTGTGCTGTGTCAGGGAGGCTGCTGCCAATCAAGGGTCGAGCCTAGTGTCCACCATTTTGTTGCCACTTGTGGCAGGGCATTGAAGGTTCTAGAGATGGGGACGGGCAATATTGTAGGGTTTAGGGTTTGCACCGTGCCAATGACATGTAATTTCGACTGACAAGCAACGCCAAACCTCGCCTTGGCCGTCCGTATCTGACAGCGATCTACAAGGCACCAGAAGAGAAAGATCGGGAAGTGCCGCTGCCAATGCTCAGCCGGCGTTTACAAGCTGACCACCCCGCCGCGGGGGCACATGATAGTAACTCTCTCGGTCCAATATATTTAACCACGGCTCTACCTACGACTTGACAGGGGCCTCCAGCAGCGTCTTGATCTCCCCAAAGGCCTTGCGGACCGTCTCGGCCGTTTCGTCGACGAACTTTTTGCGCGACTCGTCGCCCAGCTGGCCCTCGTTCATGGCCGCAAAGGCGTCCGGGCCCAGGCCCCCGGCGAAGGAAAAGGCGGGCCTCGTCTCGGCGACGCGCAGCTTCATGCCCGCCAGGACGTCGGCGGCCACGGCCGACGCCTTGTTGCCGCCGCCGATGCCGTAGCTGACGATGGCGACGGGCTTGCCGATCCACTCATTGTAGAGGTACTGTTTATACCAGATCAGCATGCGGATCTTTGCGCCGCCTTCCCAACGAGCATCCAGGAGTAAAAAGAAGAAAAAAAATCTCACATCGATCGCGTTCTTGGTCCCGCCCCCGATGGAGTAGTTGTACTCGGGGATCACGAGCACGTAGGCGTCGTGCGAGGCGATCTCGGCCGACCAGCGCTTGGTGTGCTCGAACTTGAACTGCGCCTTGGCCGGCACCTGGGCGGGTATGACCTCCTCGTCGTACACGGGCAGGTTGAAGTCGGCTAGGTCGACCAGCTTGACTGAGTATGTGGCCGGGCCCGCCGCCTCCTTCTCGAGCGTCTCCTTGACCAGGGCTGCGATCTTGTTGCCGACCCTGGGCTTGCGGGTGCTCATGGAGAGCACGGCGATCTTTGCGGGGGCTCCGGGGGTGGACATGGTGGCTTGTGCTGGGTTGGGTTGGTTCAAAGGTCTTTCGGTTGCTGATGCTTTGCTTGATGTCTGAAAGCCAAAGTCTTGTCCATATTCACAACGGCCACGTCAACACCCTTTATATATCTCTTGCCATGCCATCTTTTCAACGGCCAACCCCCTCCATGCTGAACCCATCGCAAGCGACTAGGCGACTGACAAATCCGCGGATGTTGTTGCAGGAGGTACTTGGCAGACCGTCTTCTTCTCCCGAATGCCGCCTGCCTTCTTCCGCATGCAGTTCCTGCCTTAAGCCCGCGTGTTTGAATCCCGTCACTTTGGCACGCAAGAGCCGCGCGGGATTTGGGCGCCATGTTGCCATGTCAGATCGTGTGTGGTGGTTGCCAAGACATCAGGTCCTCCTCGCTCCTCGCGCGCGCGTTCCCTTTTGGGAGATTCCGAGCTGCAGCCCCGCGTCAGAACCTCACAGGCTGAGTAATTCAACAAGCCGCCCACACCCTGAGCCACAACAGCGTCAGTGGGATCTGTCTGTGCCGGCATCTCGGGTTTTGCATCGAGAGCCGATGTTTGTAAGCGCCATATTGCTGGCTTCAACAACATCTACACTGAGACTCGGCGACTTTCCATAGAGGTCCTAGAAGTTTTGTGGGTTTGCTCAACGGCTCTTTCCTTCTGTTTTTTTTCTCGCTCTCTTTCTTTCCCTCATGCCCTCCTTCCGGTGCGTTTCGGGCGCCGAGGTAGCCTCGGAGTTAGCCTCGGAAACCAAAACATGTTAAACCGCCAACTGGTGCTCTGTCGAGGATTTGGGCTTCGCTCCAACGCTGCCTGGACAGAGCGCTCGGCAAACACTAAATGATCTCGCCAGACAATGGGCAAGCTCCGCTACAACGTGGCCACCTCCCTCGACGGCTTCATCGCCCGCCCGGACGGCTCCTACGACTGGATCCCGGTCGACAACTCGATCGACTTTGCCGCGCTCTACGCCCAGTTCGACGCCTTCATCATGGGCCGCAAGACGTACGAGACAATGCTCGCGCAGGGCGACCAGAACCCGCTCAAGGGCCGGCCTCGGGACCGGCTGGCCGTCGTCACGAGCGCCGGGCTGGCCGGCGGCCCCGCCCGGGGCGTCACGGTGCTCGCGGGGGCGGCCGAGGCGGCGGCGTGGGTCGCCGAGGCCAAGCGGCGGCTCGAGCGCGACGTCTGGCTGTTCGGCGGCGGCGTGCTGGCGGCGAGCCTCCTGGACGAGGGCGTCGTGGACACGATCGAGGTGGCCGTGGTCCCCGTGGTTCTGGGGCGGGGCATCAGGATGATCGGCGGGGAGCTGGGGTCGAGTCGGCGGCTTCGGCTGACGGGCAGCGAGATGTTCGCAAGCAGAATTGCAATGTGCAGGTACGAGGTGATCTACGAGTCAAGTGGCGGTGACTGTCAAACCGCCCTGGTGGAATGAGACTCTGCGCTGCCATGGCGGGCATTAGCCCGTAACCACATTGCCTAGGCGACTTAGGGTCACAGAGCAACATGGATCGATTCAGACCCGCCCCTCCTGTCATCTCCCTTCAAAGTCTATTTGAGGGAGCCGCGTCGTGCTTGATCCCCTGTAATTGTTGGATGAGCCTGTCGTCATCGGCCCCGATCCCGAGCCCGAGTCTGCCGATGGCAGGACATTTGACTGATAGATTTTCAACGGTGCGGCCTGGGGCTGCAAAGGTTCACATTGATCCGGATGCTGCAGACATTGAACTAAACCCAGCTGGGGGGAACAAACAGGTCCCACCTAGCGCTCGCGGCGTGCAGGGCTTCCCCGCAATGGAGCAATCGGGTTCGTGCTCTGCTAGTACCAATCCTTCCATGCGGTGCCAAATTGGTCTCTCCAGCAGCTTTGAAACATTTGTCTTGCAAACAAAGTGTAAAATCCTCATGGGAATCAAAAACGCGACGACGATGCAAAATGTGAGCATTTGATCAGAGTCGGTGTACGAGGTCAGCTCATCGTCGGGAAGAAACGGTGCATATCCTGATTTTCTGCGGGACATGAGCATGAGCCGATCGACTGATGGCGCCTCTTGGGCCAGGCCATTGGCTCAAGGTTTAATGATGGGCGCACTGCCCCGCTTCGGCTGCCATCGAGGTTTGGGCCTAGCCCTATGCATGCTACCCAGACCGACGCAGTACCTGCACCTGGACTTGCCCCTTTACGGATACGCACAGCACCCCATGTCGCTCCAGTACGCTGGCGTCTGCCAGGACAGGCCCTGTGGCCTCCTCCAACCGCACGAGGTCAATGGTCCTCGTCTTCCAATGACATGCATACCATGAGTCCATCTCGCTCCAGCACCGGAAACACCACACGAGCATAGGTAGGGCTTAGTCTTTGAGCAGTCTTTAAGATGGGTTTGGGGATTCTGGAGGACAAGGTCATGGACCATGTGCCGGGTAAGCAAGCAGCAACCGCAGATGCGTCCTCCCGCCGAAGCCGCAGCATCTGACACGCGCCGACACAGGCACCACCCGGTACTTTGACAACCCGGAGCGCCCGCTCTTCGCCCCCGATGCCGACACGGGGCTCAAGTGCGACCGCAGCGGCCCCGTGCCCATCATCCTAGTGCCGCAGCCGTCCGACGACCCGAACGATCCGCTCAACTGGCCGCTCTGGCGCCGCGACGTCATCACCTTGATCCTCTCCCTCGTCGCCACCATCGCCGTCTCCCTCGGCCCCATCCTGGCCGCCAACACGGTCACGCTGTCGCTATGGTTCGGCGTCGACTTTACAAAGATCGCCCTGCTTACGGGCTACTTTCTCCTGGGCGTCGGCCTCATGGGCGTCATCTTTGTGCCCTCGAGCCGCATCTGGGGCAAGCGCCACGCCTTTGTTTTCGGCCTTATCATAATCATAATCTCTAGCGCCTGGGCCGGCGATGTCGGCAGGAACTACGACAGCATGGTCGGTGCGAGGGTCATCCAGGGCTTTGGCGCCGCCCCTTACGAGGCCCTCGTCAACGTCGCCGTTGGCGATCTTTACTTTGTTCACGTGCGTGCGCCGGTGCGGGTAGAGGGCATCTCGGTGGTTGTGGTTCCGGCTCCCTGCTGACATGTATACTGACGTACACGCCCTCACAGGAACGCGGCAAGCGCATGGCTGGCACCAACCTGGCCGTCTTCGGCGGCGCCTTCGCCACCCCGATCCTCGTCGGAAAAATCACACACACCATCGGTTGGTGGTGGACCTTCTACCTGGTCGCGATACTGTGTGCCGCGAGCCTGCCGGCCATCGTGTTCCTCTGCCCCGAGGTGGCGTACCGGCGCGACAAGTCCCTCAACACCGACATGCTCTCCGAGGACGAGCGCACCGCGTCCAAGCCGAACACGACTAGCCAGTACAACGACAACGGCCGGCCCGAGCAGCCCGCCCCCGCCACAGCCGATGCGGCTACCAATCAGGCCCGTAGCGGGGAGGAGAAGCCGCACGACCAGGACGCCGTCAATCCTTACCCCTCCAACGCCGCGCCGCAGATGACGCCCATGGGCATGCCGAGGCCGGTCCCCCGCAAGAAGACGTTTGTCGAGTCCCTCGCCCTCTTCGACGGCCGCAAGACGGACGACAACTTCTTCGTCCTGTTCGCGCGCCCCTTTGTCCTCTTTGCCCAGCCCGCCTTCTTCTGGGCCTGCCTGATCCAGGGCACCATGATCGGCTGGACCGTCTTTATCGGCGTCATCCTCGGCCAGTTCTTCCTGGGCCCGCCGCTGTGGTGGAACGAGGTCAACACGGGCTACGCCTACACGGGCGCCTTCGTGGGCGCCCTGGTCGGCTTCGTCATCGCCGGCGGCCTGGCAGACTGGAGCGCCAAGAAGATGACGGCCTGGAACGGCGGCGTGTACGAGCCCGAGTTCCGCATCGTCCTCATCATCCCCCAGCTAATCCTGGGCTGCGCCGGCTTGTACGGCTTCGGGATTACGGCCGATGGGTTGCTGGGCGACAAGTACCACTGGTCCGTCCCCATCGCCTTCTTCGGGCTCGTGGTCGCCGGCATGGTCGTTGGCGCCGTCGCTTCGTCGCTTTACATTGTCGACGCCTACCGTGAGTGACGCTGCTTCCCTCATGGCGGTTCGAGCTGAGCTGCCCACCTGCTGACACTGTCGAAAAGGCGATCTTGCCATCGAGGGCTTCACCTGCATGATTATTTTCAAGAACGTCTTCAGCTACGCTCTGACCTACAAGGCCTACGACTGGATCCAGGAGAACCAGACCAGGGCCACTCCCGTCTTCAACGCCTTGGCCACGGTCCAGGTTGTCGTCTGCGTTTTGAGCATTCCCATGTGTAAGTCGGCCTTTGTGTAGTACTTGAGCCTAGTCGTGCATGTTGCTGACATTTTCTGATATGGCAGACATTTGGGGCAAACGGATCCGAAGCTTTTACCACCGCCATGACATGCTGGTGAAGCTTGGTCTGAAATGATGGAGGTGGGAAGTGACGCAATCCGAGATTGATCTCTGCGGGTCAACAGTATGTCTGTCGACTTGTCAATATTTACTCCATGTGTGGAAACTTTGTTTTTGTTGTCATGGGCGCCTGGAACTATCCAGGGCACGTGTTATTGCATACAGGAGCAATGAGTGGTGTATTAATGCCAAATCTTGAGCACCTAGTGCTTTCATCTATTTCAATATGTGCAGACCTGCCCGCCCATCTCTCAAGCCGTCGCCTTGTTGCCCGAAGTGCCCTCTGCACCACCCGCCGCCCGCTTCTTGACAAGACGCAGACCCGCAAAGGCCATGACCAGCCAGCCCCTGGATATCGAGGATGACGACGAGGGCGACGAGCGCGTAGGCGTTCTTAAAGTTGGCGTCGTCGGCTTTAAAGGTGCGGTTGATGGCCGGCAGTAGGTCGCGGTAGAAGCCGCGCGCGCTCTCGAGCGTGGCCAGGTACTCTACGCTAGAGAAGTAGCTGTTGGAGCTCACGACGGCCCTGGGGCAGCCGCTCCCGCCCTGCAGCCACGTGCTGTCCTCGGCGCCGCCGGCCGTCGCGGCCTCGACGGGCAAGTACTGGTACCCGCCCAGGGGGCGCCCGCACGCGCGAGCCGTCGGCCAGCGTCTGGGCCGCGGCGGCGCCGGAGGGCCGTCTTGACGAGACTGTTCATGGCTACATTGGAGAGGGGGAGGGGAGGGCAGGACAGTGTGAGGGGGAAAAGGGAGCCTCGGGTATCACGAGATACTTGCGAGGGAGAAGGTGTGGCAGACGGTTGCTCATAAACGTTGACGAGGAGGGGCACACCGGCCTGCCGTTAAATAAAATGACGCGCCCATGGTTATCGTGGTTAGTCAATATCACATCAGGCTATCTTGGTGGGCATGCAGGCGCCGGCGGGCTCCCCAAAAGAACCACATCCAGACCACTCTCTAGCGACGCCGGAGCGGGGGGCGAGCGGAGCGGCTGCTACCCAAAGTGGGAGCTGGCCGGCTCCAGAAGCGAGCTGGACGGCGGGCTGCACTTCCGGCCGGTTGGTGCGGCTTCAAGGTTGGAAGCCAATGATAAACCAAGTCTAACAAGGCTGCAACCGCAAGTAGCCCCCAAGGCTGACCAACTGCTCACTACGAAATATCTACACGGTAAGCGAGACATGCTCCTGCGCCCAAACGCCCATTACAACTGTAAAATCCCATAGCACCTCACAGCTTCGCCTTCTCCTTCTTGCCCGATTTGACGTGGCGCGAGACCTCGCCGCTGAGAATAAAGTCCGGGTACTTGGCACCGGGGTCCAGGCCGACGCCCATGGAGCCCGACTGCCTCCTCCAGGCGGCACCGTCGACGACGAGCACGTGGCCGTTGACGTAGTTGCCGGCCTCGCTGAACAAAAAGACGGTGGCGTCGGCGATGTCGCGCATGGTGCCCCAGCGGCCCGACGGTATGCCCTCGGAGCGCTCCCTGGCGCCGACGGCGGCGCTCGAGAGCCGCTGCATGCCCTCAGTGCCCTCGATGGCACCGGGAGCGATGCAGTTGCTCGTCACGCCTAGCGGGCCGTACTCGAGCGCCACCGACGCCATGAGCGAGTCGACACCGGCCTTGGCCGCCGACACGTGCGCCTGGAACGGCAGGCCCGTGTAATGGAACGTGGCCGAGACGTACAGGATGCGCCCGCCCGTCTGGCACGTCGGGCTCGGGTTAGGGTTGCGCCCCGCCGACGCCGTCAGGTGCGGCATCGTCGCCTTGATTGTGTTGAAGGTGCCGATGGTGTCGATGCCGATGACCGACTTGAAGCCGTTGGGGCTGAGGCCCGAGATGGGCGCCACGAAGTTGCCCGCAGCTCCGGCGCTGCGTTGGGGCAGTCAGTACGTACTCTCGTGTCGAGTGCCTGGGTAGGGGCATCTTGGACGCAACCTACATGACAAAGTCAATGGCCCCCAACTCGGCGGCGCAGCGGTCGGCGGCGCGTTTCAGGTCGTCAAACTGCAAAAAGGTCAGCATCATGGCCAGCCTTGGACTCGAGGGGACCGCAGCCAAGGGTAGCCAGCAAGCAGAGGGAAGACCAACATTGCGGACATCGACGGCTCCAATGCCCATGACTTTTGCGCCTTTGCGGACCTTGGCGATCTCCTTGGCCGCCCTCTCCGTCTTCTCGACATTGCGGCCGATAATGCAGGCATCGGCGCCCAGGTACACAAGCGCCTTTGTCTGAGCGCCGCAAATATCGCCGGCACCGCCTGTCACGAATGCAACGCGGTTGTCTAAATAGGGGTGAGCGTGCTGGGCCGAGATGGGGATTGACCATACAGCTAGGATGGCGATGCTTCTTACTGAATATGCCCTCCTTCCAGACATTACTGAGAAAGTCTGGGTTGGGGGTGGCCATTTTAAGTCGAGGCAGAATCGAGTGGGAGGGTCTGGTGTGTTGGTGAGGTGAGGTGAGGTGAGCGCTGATTTGAGAACTAGGAATCTTGTAGGAATCTCGTCGCCCAGAGATCTGGACTCGTAGCTAAATTCGGATGCAACGAACCGGCTGGCGGGTTGTTACAAGATTGGGAGATGCCCTTGTTCTGCTCCCCGAGAATTGGTTGGCGCATCAAGACTTCTTTTATAGGATTGACATCGGCCCGCACCTCCCCAGATCAACATCGTGCCTCGGCAAAAGAGTGGGTCTGCATCGCAACGCTGCGGGGACGGTCCCTGCAAACCACGCGCGCGGGCCTGGGCGCGGCACAATTGAGCAACCCCCTAACCCACGGTTGGTCGGTCAATCAATCGCGCCGCCATCATTGTTTTCTTTTTTTGCTGCTTGCGACGTGGACAAAGCCATTCAGCTGCTGGCATCGTTCTGCGCCGACGAGATACTACCAGTTTTGGACCCTAGTGGGAGACGGACTCGCTAAATGCGCTGTTAACCATAAATGAGTATGGCTGCCGACTGAGTTCTATCGCGGCGCTGAACATACTTCCTCCTCCCTTCCCCAAGGCCCCAGCTGCCCCTCGCCCTCTTGTCATCGCTTGAAACCAGCCAGCCCAGCCCGATTCTCTAGCCGCCCGCAGAACCTTGCCGTCTCGACCGCCTTTCCTCATTGCCGCATGCCACGCGCCTATCGCTTCTACCCGCATGAACCGCAGCGATATCGCACCCACATACACCATGAGTTCCACCATCGACCCATTTGCAGCAGACCAGCAGCCCAAGCCGAAGCCGAAAAAGCCCTTGTTCAAACGCCAAGCCAAGGCAGCCCCCAAGACCCAGTCCGCGCCCGCCGTTCCCGATGCGAACAGCCCCGTAGTTGAAAAGGACGACGAGGACTTGGCGCTGTTCAAGCAGTCGAAGCACTTCTTCCCTGTCATCCTTAGGGATCAAGATGAGGAGAGGGAAGCGGAACTGAGGAAATCACAAGACCGATCCGCTTCCGAGGCGCGCGAGAGGAATCTCCAAATACGTGACAAAACTGAGGGCTCGGATGACGACATCTACGATGCCTCGCCGCGCGCCAGTAATCGCAAGCGCCGTACCAGGTGAGAATCCGAGGCCCGCGCCGAACCACGCCCCCTCGCGAGCATGCCGATCTGACGGGGGTTGCTTGCCGAAACAGTAGTAGCCACGACCGGCCCATCACCCCGCCATCGAGCAAGCGAAACCGAACCAATCCCGAATCCCGCACAAGAGATTCGAGCGGACGACTGGACAAGGGCAAGGGACTCGCCGCACCGTACAGCCTGGCGACGCCGACAAAAGGCTCGTTTTATGGCAGCCATGCGGCAGGTCTCGACGACTCGGAAGATGACGCGACCGACCGCAAGCGACTGCTTCCCACCCCACGCGGGGGCGTCGGCTCAAGAGGTGGGCTAGGGAATGGTGCAACGCCGACGATAAGCCTTGATGATTCGGATGATGACAACAAGGCTGCCATCATCAAGAAGCCATCAGAATCTGACGATGACATCGAGGAGATTCCGCCGGCTACGGAGCCCGAAGACGACCAGTTTGCGCACTTTGTGGCCCAGGCAGAGGCGCGTCGGGCCGCGCAAAGGAAGGCTGCGGCCGCCAAGGAGGCGACGGCAGCCGCGGGCGGACCTGTGCCGGTCGAGGATCGTGTCGTGACCATTATCGTGACGTCGCGGCTGGGAGGGCCCGACATGAAACCGATTCAGTTCAGGCGCCGCGTGTCGGGCAACATCAAGGCCGTCCGCGATTGCGTCGGGGCCTTTGCGCCGTCGCGCGGCCGGCCCCTCACGCCCGCCGAGCAGGAGTCTCTCTTCGTCACATGGAAGGGCCGCAAACTGTTCAACCAGAACACCATCATGTCACTCGGCGTCATACCCGACGAGGACGGCGTCCTGCGCCGCACCGCCACGCCCGACGGCCCCGGCATGGGCCGCCAGGACGAGAGCGACGGCTACACCGAGGGCGGCGCGCTGCACTTCGAGGCCTGGACCGAGGAGGGCTACGAGGCCTGGTCCAGGCAGCAGAAGAAGAGGCACCGCCGCGAGCTGGGCGAGCCGGTCTCGGACGACGAGGAGGGAGCCGACGCCGAGGCCGCGCGCAACGGCGCGGCGGGGCCCGAGCAGTCCGCCAAGAGCGGCGGCGGCGGCGGCGGCGGCAGCAGGATCCGCATCATCATGAAGTCCAAGGACCACGAGCCGGTCAAGACCTCGGTCGCCCCGACCGACACCGTCGCGGACCTGATACTGGCCTTCCGCACCTGCCGCCACGTCGGCGCCGACAAGCAGGTCGAGATCCGCTGGGACGGCGACAAGCTCGACGGGGAGACCACCATCGAGGAGGCCGAGATCGAGGACAAGGACACGGTCGAGGTCTACGTCAGGTGAGCCGCGGGCCGCCGGGGCAGGCCACAACGATGGACGGGGGTCCCCATCATATTGTATCCCATTGCCTTCCCTAATAACTGCAATGCTCATGTTTTCGCCTTGTTTTATCACGATGTTTATGAAGGAATTCAAAAATGGGGCGTTTCTCTTCCCTTATTACCTATTTCCCAGCGCAGTGTGGCTGTCACGCATTTTCAACATGATACCCCTGAGCTCCTCCGCGCCTGATTACATCTCTGCACGTTGTCTGATCTCCAGGCTCGCATCTGGCGCTGCATTTGAGCAAATCATTCTATTTTTCGTCATAGGATCGTTTAAGCCGAAAAAAGCCGGCCTGATTCGTCGTCTCTCAATGGATAGCTGAGGAACGACTCAAAGAGAAAACAAAATCACGGAACACACGAGTGCCAACCCGGAACGCCCCATACGCCTTCTCCCCATGCAGTGCGTTTCCGCCCCTTTTTTTCAACAAAGGCGCCGCTCAGAACCTCTCCTTCATCCGGGCACTGATGGCTCGGAGGTTGCCGTAAACCTTGCTGGGCGGCTTTCCGAGGATCAGGTCCACGATGCTTTCCTGGGCCATCCGGACGTTCTTGAAGCTGCCCAGGATGTGGATCTGGAAAACACCCCAAGTTAGTGCCTCAAGGGCTCGCAGATGAAGTGTTTGATTCTGCCACGTACCTTGCTGTCTGCCAGAACGATCCTCGTCCTCGATGCGTTCTCGATGGCGAACTTGGTCTTTCCGTCCTTGCCGGCAATACGGCCAACACCACGCGCCAGGTGGTCGCCCGTGAGCGATTTGACGTCCTTGACTATTTTGGGGGTGTGGCATGTCAGTTCTCACAACTCCTCGAGCGCCAACGGGAGATGGGTTGCGGCGTATAAGGTGTGCATACTCTCAAACGTCTGGATGTACAGCTCCGGCACCCTGATCAGGGCAATGGCGTCCTGGACGTCGAACCCGAGCGTGAAAGCCTTGACAAAGTCCTCTGCAAGTGGGAAACGGATCAGTGTTACTACTGTCCGATGTGGTCAAGAGGTGCGAGGGAGAGCCCAAGCAGGCAAAAAAAACTTACCACCCTTTTGGAGCGCGCCGGCCTCCGTGGTGCTCTGTGATGACCTCATCTCCACCGTCTTGGACTTGATGTTCATGCGCCTAGAGTTGATCAAGGCCGTTGGGTCAGCTACCGCCGGACCTCCCATGATCCCGCTCCCCATACCCCGTCCATTCCCAATCTTAACACCATCTCTCCTTCCTCGCTCCCTTGTCCACCGACAAAACAAAAGACTTACACCTGCAGCTTCAGGTGCTTGACCAGCGGCTCGTAGATCTGCGGCCAGTTGGCCTTGAGCGGCGTCATGCGGTGGGGCGGCACGGGCACCTTCCTGGTCTCGCGGCGCGCGGCCGGCTCGGCGTCCCGCGCCGGCGCGAACCGGGGCCGTGACTCCTCGTCGATGGCCATCTCGCCCCCTTGCTCGGCCGGCGCCGCTATCGTCTCGGCCGCCACCAGGATGTCGCGCTCGGCCGTGCCCAGCATGAACTCCTCCTCCTTCGGCGCCTCTCCGCCATCTGTCAGGGCCAGGGTCGCGTCTATGTCCATGGCGGGGGGTGCCGTCGCAGCGACCTCGTCGGCCGCAAGGGCCTTTACTGCTGTTGGCGCAGGCATTTTTATTTTATTTTTTGTCTTCGTTATTTCGGTGGGGGGTTCGTGGGGTCGCTCGGTGTGTTCAGCTTCGGATTCGTGGCTGCCGTCAGATCTCCGTCGAGGGTTTGTCGTGTCTAAGGGGTATCGTTTTTTTTGGCTGGGATTTAGAGTATGCGACTTGCTTTCCTAGAGGCGGTCGTGAGAAATTTCCTGCCCACCACTGCGGATTTCGGTGCGCCGCCCCTCCAACCTGCCTTCCCATTCGCCCGTGCTCCCCGCCATGGCGCGCCTGAGTTTTATCGATAGCGGGCAGTGTGTGGAGCGGGCGGGTGGTTGGGTCCACACGACCCACCACCCGGGGGGTTGAGTGATACCAGCAAGGTACCCCGGCAAGAAAGTTCAGCGCATCATCCATGGATGGAGTAAATCAAGGTCTTCATGCGGGCAGAAAAAAAGAGCGCGCAACGGCCCATTCGCTCGTTTCGCATGAGGGGGAGATTGGCACGACAAGCACGACAAGCACGACAAGCACGACCGAACGGTACGATACAACCTACCTGCCTAGGTACATACCGACAGAGGTGACTCTTAACCACGAGAGCGCGGGCCCTGTGCTGCTTTGCTGCTGCTGGACCAGAAACATTCCTCCCCTCTCATTCAACATGAAGAGCCCCCGCGCCCACCATGCCGCCTAGCACCCCGAGTTCCCAGCTGCGCCGCCAGCTCTGGGCAGCCGTCCGGGACTCGGCCGCCGCTGCTCTCAGGAGGCGGCCGAGGCTGCAGCCCGCTTCTTCTCTGCCCTCGTGCGCCGGCCGCCCATCACCCCACCCGCCCAGCATCACCGGCCCCCTGCACTCGCCGCCCAGGTTCGCGCCCGGCCACGTCCGCCGCAGCTGCACCTCGGGCAGCCTGCTGCTCCTCGGCCTGAGCAGCCCGTCGTCCTCGCCGACCCAGACCGTGGTCGCGTCCTGCACCGCCGCCGCCGCCGCCGACGCTGCGCTTGGGTCCCCCGCCTGGCCCAGGTCCAAGTCCGGCTTTGCGCTTGCGACCGCGCGCCAGGCATGGAGGCGCGGGGTCCATACCGGCCGCGGGCATGACGTCCAGGACGCCGGCGCAAAGGACTCTGCCGGCACCACCTCTGCGACTAGCCCCAAGAGGCCTGAATCTCGTATCGACAATGATACAAATCCCGCGGCGGCGACGCAATCGAATGGAAATAGGCCCGGCGCCCCGGAGCAGTCTGAGCAGCCAATACTGCCGCAGCCACCACTCGAGCCAGAGTCGCTGACAGACTCCATGTCCAAATATCTCCATCTGCCGCACCTACCAAAGATGCCGCATCGGCCGAGCAAGGAGGAGCTCCTGTCGGCTGCAAATGGCTTTTGGGAGCGTCTCAAGGTCCGGTTCAAGTGGCTGTCCATCAGGAGCATGCGCCCGTACAATGCAGACGAGTGGGGCGCCTTCGTCTCGTGGTTTATGCTTGGCAACCTGATGTGGATTCTGGTTGGAACCACCACCTTCTTCTCCCTCATCATCCTGCTCGTCAACACTGTTCTCGCTCAAGGTAGGTTAGTTCTGATTGTCTTGTGCCGTCGTGGTGATGGATAAGCTAACCTTGCATCCAACAGAAACTCTGGCCAAAAAGGTGGGCGACTATCTCACCAAGTCCGCCGGCGTGACGGTCGTGTTCGAGTCCGCCATCGTGCCCAGGTGGAAAGATGGTGTCATCACCTTCCGAAACGTCTTCGTCTCGCGCCGCCCTGGCCAGCTCAAATCCTCGGTAAAGAAGGGTTCGTCCACTAACGCTGCCGCCGAGGCTGCAGCTGCGGCGAGGCAGGGCCAAGCCGACAGCCAGGCGACCGAAGTGGACGATGGCAACTACACGCAATTTGATGTGACCATTAACACTGTCAACGTCACTCTGTCTTTTTACAAGTGGTGGAACGGCACAGGGCTGCTCAAGGACGTCGAGGTCAAGGGCGTGCGGGGTGTAATGGACCGTACGTCTGTTCGTTGGCCCGACGTGCCCATGGACCCCCTGTCCTACCGCCATGAGCACCAGCCCGGCGACTTTGAGATCGAGCACTTCAAGCTCGAGGACCTGCTTGTGACGGTTCACCAGCCCAACGGGTTCCGCCCCTTCCCCGTGAGCATATACTCGTGCGAGCTGCCACAGCTGCGGAAGCGGTGGCTCTTCCACGACTTCCTCTACGCCAACCACATGTCGGGCTCGTTCGACGGCTCCCTATTTACCATCCACCCCCGCCAGATACATGGCGTACCTACCGGGGACCACGGCCACTCGGCAGAGCACATGGGCGAGTCGGGTGCGTGGAAGAAGTTTAGCAGGATGCGCATCGACGGCCTCAAGATCGACCATCTCAACCGCGGTGTCCAGGGCCCCTTTGGTTGGATCTACGAGGGCAACGTAGACATGGTCGCGGACCTCATGTTCCCTGCCGATGAGGAGGACTCGATTGGCAAGGTCGTGTCCGAATTCTACGAGAAAATGGAAGATGCCGTCTCGAGGAACCGTTATATCAGGATCCTCGACAAGAACCTCCGCATCGACCGGACTAAAAACCCGGGCACTTTTATACCCATGGTGTTTAACACAGACTCCAAGGGCCATGTATCAGACACGACATCCGACCATGTTCCAGACCCGACACCGGGCGAGTACACCCCATTCACACCGTCGAGCCAGCTTGAACCTCCCCCATCGCCCTCTGACGACGAGCCACCACGCTATCTCGTCATGGACCTCCGGGTGCACCTCAACGACGTGCGGGCGGCAGTACCGCTCTTCACCCAAGACATATCCTACATCAAGCAGCCACTGGTGCGGCCCATCGTGGCCTACATCAACGCCAAGCGCACCTACATCCCCATCTCGTGCCGCATCGTCAAGCGCATCTCGGACCTGGACGGCTCCTGGACCGTGTATGACTGCGGCATGATGGACGACCTCAGCGCCGAGGTTTACGACGCCTTTGCCCGCGACGTCGAGGACCAGCACTCGCGGGTGCGCCGCCTCAAGAAGGTCGGCTTCTGGACCCTCAGCATGGTCGTCCATGCCCTCCTGGCTGGGGTTGCCGGCGACCTGATATGAGGGTCTGGGGGGCTCATACCTTTGTAACGTATAATCCCCTCTCCTCCCTCTGCATCTTCTTTTTCTCCCTTATGTCGGGGGACGGTAACACCCATCAAACTGTCCTTCGGCCGTTTCTCTGTTGTAAATATGACGACACCCGGGTTGCTTAACGCTTTTTTTTCATTCGTGTATATAAATTATGTGGCCATGTCTGTTATGATGGATGGGTCTTGGGGCACAGGCGGGACTGCGACTTTTTTTTTGGCTTCCAACGCGGCGTTTGTGATTTTCTCTTTCATGGCTTGATACTCTGGGATAGGACTGGGCAACATGACAGAACAAACCAGGCGCGCGTCGTACGCAACCAAGGAACAGCGTGAGAGAGGTCCGAGTCAGAGGCGCATGCGTTTCGCTTCACTCAGCCACTCTCCAATAACTTATTTGTCTTGCATCCTTCTCGGTATTCCTGCCCGCCAATGGCATTGACACAAGTGTATTGTTTACATGTTCCTCTCCCCTTTCATTTCAGTTGAACGGGCCGACCTCTGGTGGCGTGTATATGTCGGGGGGCCCGTCTTGGTCTGTCAGGCACGGCTCGCCCAATACGGAGAGACGAGACGCCCCTGCAGCAGAGCGATGACCTCAACCGAGACCGCCCCCCGGCCCCCGGCCCCTCACTGTGTGGTAGGTATGCATCCTCGTCCTCTACTCCGCGCGGGGGAGTGGGTGGTATCCGCGGGACGACAAGCGACAAGAGATGCGTACAAGCGGGACATACGACGAAATGGAGAAGAAAAAAAAAGAGGGGGAGGGTGTGGTGGTTCCCTTTGTTCTCTTGCCAGGTCCTTGACAGCTTCACATGTAGTGGCCGCCGGCGGGTGTCGCATCCCGGAAGGGGGCATTGCCGATTCGCCCCCGCCCCCTCCTCTCTTCTTCTCTTTCTCCCTTTCATTCCATCTTCGGGTGCCAAGACATAGGCTCTCTTTTTTGTTGTTGTTGATAACAGCCTAACTCGGTCCCTGGCGCTCCATAGATGCCCAAGCATCCACCTCTGCAGCTGCCGGTCGCCCAGTCGAGGAAACCGCCGCCGCCGCCGCAGCCATGTATGTAGGTACGTACGTATGCGTATGTACGTAGGCAAAAAAAAAAGCTAACCCCACCCAAGGCAGAATGGAAGGCTTTTTTTTTCTTCTTCTTCTTCTCTGTCTCGATTCTATGGGATGCAAAAAAAGGCGGGCGGCCGAGGCGGGCGGTGGCTTTTTTGGTTGCTGCATCAAGTTTGATGCGCCCCCAGGCAGCATGCAAGCCCACCGCTATTCGGGCTTCTTTGTTTGGCGTTTCTATCCCGCCGACATCGCTTTCTCTGGTTTCCGCAAGCCGGGCTCTGGGTTTTTCGTCCTCGTTTTTCGTCCTCGTTTTTCTTCATCGCCCTACTCGAGGGAAGGCAGGGAAGAACAAAAGCAAGTTTGACGGCTCTTATCATATGTATTATATGTCAGGCCCAAAAAAAAAAGCCCAGCTCGACGCGGCGTTTATTCGGAAGACCAGAGTGGGTCGAGAAGCCTCAAAAACACCCAATAAAACGGCAGGCAGACTATAAACCCGAGCACATTTCCAGTTAGCTGCATGCCATTTTTCCCGGCGTGCCTGGGCGGCCCCCAATGAGCCAAATTTCATAATTCGCGTTTCAGGGCATACCCATGCACCGAGACATGGGAACGGGTGACGATGGAGCCGCCCAACAAATCTCAGCCTCGGTTTCTGTCGCCTCACCTGCCTCGTCGTAGAGCCGGCAAGGGTTACATGGGTAGATAGATGGGAGCATCGGGTGGAACTACGCCCGGAACAGGCTCGTCCTTCGGTGGAGACACGGGATTCGCCCTCGAACAGTCTTCTGTTTCGGGACTTGTTTGCTGACTAGGGCGTCACGGATATTGAGTGCGCGCGCGCAAGACAAGCCGTGTTCCCTAGCCTGTCCCTTCTGATCCGCCATCCGCAAAATTGGCATAGGGCGTGGCTTTGGAGGGGGGTGTGGTTGGTTTTCGGCCGGGGGATATCCTGAGCAGTCATCCGCCCGGCCCATCGACGACGGGGTGAGAAGGACGGATGGCGCCGAGAACAAATCGGGTCCGCTCTCGCGCGCTCGAGAGGAAAGAAGACCGGACTGGCAGTAGGAAGCTGCTTGTGCTAGCCACGTCTTCTTTTTTTCTCGATGCCAATCGGTATCCGCCCTGTCCTGCTTCAATATCCGGAGGCGAGGCTGTCAACTGTTCCACTCGGAATGCCCATGTCATGCTCCGGAAAACTTGTCCGCAGCAACATCGTTCCCCGGCGTGGTTTGACTTGAGGAGCCAGCCATGTTTCCTCAAGGCACAGCAGCGCGAGGTGATGTCAGATACGAGCGTGCTAGCCCCTGCCCACGGCAAGCTCCTGCTGGTCGAGCCGTGCATCCGGCCCATCCATTGAGCTTCGCTCTGACCCTGCTCCCGCCCCGTGATGTAGCGTGCTCGCTTCTTACTCTCTCTCATGAAACCTAACGCTGCAGGGAGTTGGCGTGCCCAACGCGGCAAGGTGTTCTCGAGGCACAGTGACTATGGAATTTGTCAGTCAGGTTACTGATGAGACAGAAACGGGAGCAGGCGAACCAATGTGAATTTCAGGGCTGGCAGGTAGGGCTCCTGGCTCTTCACGAGAACGACGGGGCGTAGTGGATCATCTTTCCAACTCGGCACCGGGGCTTGCTCTGTGGTGACAGACTGGCGGCATTCTCGTTTAGCTGGCGCGCCGGTTGCATCAAAGCCGAGATCGGTCGATGAGAGAAAGGCGACTCTCACCGGCATCGATCGAGCGAGTCTCAACTCGGTCCCTCAATGGAGCGGTTGGCACGGTGCCCAGCATCAACCGTCTTTGGGCTGATGTGAATAGATGCTGAAAGCCCCCTGGGCTTATGTTACCCAACTGCGAGGCATCTGACTCTCGCTGATCCCAGTTCACGCCAGATGACTTGTCCTCTCCGCCCTGTCTTGGTAAAGAACGGGTCTAGGCTGTTCTCGATAGCATCGTGTCTCCAGATTCCATATTTCCGGCATCATCCCACCTCTGGCCCTTGTCACCGACTTGTCTTATGCACACACCCAGCTCTGCGGCCTTTCACCCTCGTCCATACAACGTCGTCGTCCGCGGATCCATCTGGCTTTGCTGCTATGAGCGCGGCGGAAGTGAGAGTGATGCTGAGGAGGCAAATTTTGGGATCTCGCCTTGCCCGTTAGGCTGCCCAGTTTCGAGTTACGAGCCTCAAGGACAAAGCACTAGCTTCCTTAGTGAGGAGAGCTTAGATGGAAATTGGACGCGGCTCCTTGGGGCAGAAAGTTGGTGTCCGCACATCGATTGGCAAATCACATGCGTGGGTAAAGGTTTGTTGTCAGCAGATGCATGCAATGGGCAGCAGGGCGAGTGGGCAGCAAGAAAGTTGCGAGTTGGCAATAGTGGCAAAAAACAACCACAGCGATGGTTTCGAAAGCAGTGATAGATCGGCAAGTAGGGCTGTTGGGGGGGTGGGGGTGGTGAGCTGAGGACAAGCTCCATGTCGCAAGGTCGAGAATTCACTGTGTAAGCTTGTCCAAATTCATTGAGGGCTCTGATCATCCTCTCCCTAGGAGAGTCTCAGATTCGGGTCCACCACACACACACACACGGTTGACAGCCGCCCCCAAACCAAGCGCATGGTGGGCGTCAAAGATATGACATGATGGCGGACGGCGTAAACATGTCACCGGCCGGGGGTCACCTCATTTTCCCCAGCTTGGTGATGGGTGGTGGTAAGCAGCCTAGCCGACCTGGATAGGCCCGAACCCTTACCCACAGTCGGGTCGAAATGGCATACCCCAAGGTATCATCCAGGGCATCAGCACCCAGGGGAGGAGCAGGTGAGTGTGCAGCTAAGCTAGGCGCGAATGCCTGGTTGCCGGATCGGGTCTCCTGGACCAAACAAGATTCTGCATGACGCTCAAAAAGGTACAGTACCTCGCGGCATGGGTATGGAAGCAAGCAGGCAGGTGGAGGACACGGGCGCAGCGAGCTCTGGCTCGACATCTGGGCCCTAGCTGTGTACGTTGGGTGGGGAAGCCTCAACAGGGTGCAAGTGGTGGCTTGGCGATCCTGGGAATTTGGAGAAACGAGGCGACCTATCAAAGACGCCCTGCGCGGTGTCGTGATTCGTGAAGGCAGCAGAATGCGACCCACCACACCGGAGGGTGGCATGGCTGTGGGCTCTCCCGCCGAACGCACACCCTTGTAAGCGCATGGGCATGTAATTCGGCGCGTCTGTTGGTGTGCCCTTTATTCCATCCTCAAGGCGCCCATGGAGGGAGGAGCCTGTGCTTACAAGAGGGCCCGGGCGGTGAAGCCACCCACTTCGCACCGGCGAGCCGAGTGGCCCAGCACGGACGACGGCAGAAGGGGCGGGAGACTGTCTGATACACGCACTGGAAGGGCGTGTCCACGCTGCGGTTTGCGCGGGGCCGAACCAGCGCCCGACCCGGCACGAGGATAAATACCAACCTGTTTCCCCGGACATCTCGCCTGGTGCCAGGAGTCGTTGCCATTACGGACAGTGTCGATCCGCTCCACTTTCCAGGTACTGCCGCACAGTCTAGACTCACGTCGCCGAGCCATGTCGTCCTCTGAAGCCATGAACAGATATTGGATTCCCAATATGGACATCCATAAGAAGGTCATCGTTGCAGAGATCCAGTATCACCTCGGACCTCAGGCGAGCGTGCGCCCCTTTACAAAAGAGGTGCGTTCATTCCTCACGCTTTTGCCTGCACATTCGGCTGGGCGGAAACTGACAGGGTCACCACCCGAGAAATATTAGGGCGAAGACGGCTTTCTCATAATGACGCCGGGGCCGTGCCTCTCAGATGTGAGACGACCCAAGCACGAGCAATTCTTGCCGCCCATGTTCTGACGCATCGCACTTGGAATCAGGAGCAAATCGATGATATCTGCATCAAGTCCCGCGAGATGTGGGAGAGACAAGCAGCAGCCCGCGGAAGCACTGGGGACAAGCCTCTGAAGCGTCCCCTCCACAAGCCCGTCGTCATCTCCAAGAGTGGATCGCACGGCTCCCACCACAGATCGCGGAGAGGCGATGACCGAGGAAGCTCATATCGTAGGCGTGCGAACACCTAGAGCCACACCCCATCCTCGAATTCCTCTCCTCCTCCTCCTCATACTCAGAGGAGAGGCACGGGCGCACGGGCGCCTTGGTTTGCCGGAGGCTCCATCCTCATAGGCAAGCGAGCGGATCGTTGACTCTGACGAGCGAGCAGGGCAACGACGTGGTAGCAAGAGGTTTTGTGGAGCTCGGTTCGTGCAAGCCGTGCAGGATGCCCAGAGGTAACCCTCCCATACAGTGTAACGAAGAGCTGTTCCGGGCGCGGCGGGCGCGGCATGACGAGGGGCCGACCATCGCCTGGACCGGGATGATGGTGACCGACACCATGACACCCAAAGATAGCCTTCGTGATTTGGGGGTCCTGGCTTCGCGGACGCCGGGACGGGGTGGGCGATGGGCATTGAATGGCTGAGACAAGACTCGGGTCTTCTGGAGATATTCAGTATGTGGCTGTCGCGTTTGTGACTTCGGCTGCGGTTGCAGTTGCCTGGCAGGCAGGTATGCAGACAGACAGACAGGCAGGCCCTCAGGCAGCAGGGCAAGGGCATGGGCATGGGGCGGACATGATGGAGGGAAGGGCAGCATTGCGCAGCGTCGTTAGCGTCGTCCAGAGCAGCACTGCCATCTGGCAGTCTCTAACCCAATGGACAGCACATCCGTCTGGGACCATTTACGCATCCCTCCTGCGCATATTGCATGTCGAGACCTGGCCAGCCGCCAGCAGACCAGAGAAATCAGGCTAAGCCAAGTCTGAGAGGCCCACATTCCGGTTTGGATGACAGTTGTCAGCGCAGGAGGCCGATCCAACTGCTCCTCGCTAACGCATCCCGCCCAAGCCGTCGCCTTTTTGTCGCGTTGCTCACCGCAGAACCAGGGGGTGGCGGCGGGAGGGTGGTGGGCGCTGCCGGTGTGGGTGGACCAGGGCGTTTGATTTTGCGGTGTCGTGTCTTAATTTTTCCACTGCAGAAACGCCGGGGCCATTGAGGCGCGTGGAAGACATGGTGAGCGCCGATATGCCAAGCCTGGCCCGGCTATTGGATTGGCTGGTGGTGCCGGAACCCCCAACCGCAGGCGCATCCAATGGAACCCATCCTCGGGACGCCGGACCTCCCTGGTCAATATTCGGGTTCCGAGTCGGCCCTGGTTCCTCTTAGGCACGACCAGCGGCATGCCCGCCATCCAGTGTGCTATGGAAAAACTCGGCATGGCTCTGCATGGAATGGAGCGCAGGCCGTTTCGCATCCATAGTCTCACTGTGCATCCGGCCTCACTGCGGTGGGCATCCACGGCGCTGTCCATTCAGGACAGGATCCGAAGCAGCCCACCCTCTGAGGGTGGCGTCTCTGATCAGCCAGAAACAAGCTGCCAGTGGCACAGCAGGAGGCGGTCGCGCAATTCTCGGCCAAGTCATCGAGCTGAGCTGCTACACGAAATTGATCGCTGGTGCGACGTCTGACCAGAAACACGGTATAGCTGCGGCTTTCGGCAGATATCCAAGAAAGCCGCGCGGTGGCTCAATAGTCGGAAGGCTTCGGCGCGCTGCTGACGGTGGCTGATATCTGGAAAGTGGCAGAAAGAGCACGCGCCAATAGGGGGAGACCGGCCAGCCATTGAGGAATTTATCGGGCATCGCGGATTGTGCTCTGCGAGATGCGGCCAGACATGCCACATCAAGACTGGCGAGGAAAGCAGCTAGCCCAACGGCTTTAGGATGCGCTAGGATACTAAGTCGCACGAACGTCGTTGGATCTTGCGGCCACGGTGGAGGTGTACTCCTGGATATTGAGAGATCCCGCCGACCACAGCACAATGGCCTGGACGTGGACGCGGTGGTGCTCACCAGGCAATGGCCCTGGTGCGCGCGGCTGATCGGGCTCAGGAGCGATGTAGCCGATTACATTGACCCATTCACCAGCCCGCGTCTGCTCGGCCTTGAGACTCTGGAGGAGCAGATTCACGTCGATCAGTGCTCGCACGCGCGGTCCGTGAGCGGCGGCCTTGTCATGCTCCAGCGTCAAGGTTGCATCGCCTGTCGCGTAGGATTCGACGCTGGCACGACGGCAGCCATCATCAGCAAGTGACGCATTCTCCTGGCTCGTCCCCAGACGCCACCCCCTCGAAGCGAACGCCAACTCAGCAGCTTACCATCCCAGGAATCTGACCTTGGCCCCGGCTGGTTCCTTGTGGAGGGCCGGGAGCAGGACAAGAGTCGAGGGTATCGGCCCATTTGACATGACGGACCAGTTGCCAGTCTCGGTTCGTGGGTGTACGCAGGGTGGTATTTCCAGTTCTAATAGCCCCGAGGATGCGGACCGGAGCGACGAACCAGGAGATGGCTGCCGGACGCGGCGATGTGTGAGAAGATCAGTCGTCAGCGAAGGGTCGGCAGATGGGCAGGTTGGCACTTTGCAAGGAAGTCACCGATTTGGCCGACCAGCACAAATGAAAGGGTCAATACATGAGAGAGCCCCGAAAATCTCTCTAAAATGGGATATCTATGGAGGTGTTCTGGTCCATGAACCAGCAAGCATGGAAGATGCGCGTCCAAGATTCCTCGCTCCCATCACGGAATTGAAAAGCACGCACCTTCTCCAAGCAAGAAGGTGCTGAGAGTTGCCTGCCTAGCCCCACGTGATTTACCCCCACGGCCTTCCACCAAGCTCCAGCCATCCCAGCCACGCGAGGTAAATGTTCGGCAAAAACATGGCGTGGCTTAGCGGCTGGCCTGCTGACGCCGCCGTTGCCCGCGTCTCCGCTTCTGGAACCGGTGCTTGCATCATACTCCATTCAGGCTCGGCACCAGGACATCGTGATAACTTTGGCAGCCTAATTCCGGTTGGCTCATTTCACGCGCCTCCCATCGCCATTTGCCAACCACCCCGTCGCCAACCATCCGTCTCCCCGAACGAACTTGAGAACTCCCTACAGACCGACCGATTTCTTGGTCCATCTCCGCCCTTGGTCTAAATCCGAGACGAGCAGCCCGCCGCCCACGGTCGCCGGTACCCCGCCGGAAAAAGGCCCTATCGCGTCTCCGCGGGGCCATTTTTGGTCACCTGCAGACCTCGAATCCCCAAGGACAACCTCCGCCGGCGCCCGAATCACTAGCAGACGAACCATCCGCCGCCGATAGTCCCGCCATTTCTACTGCACCCTGCAAACACCGGCGTTTGGCCCATCTCTTCCTAGGAGACCCCTTGGGAAATCATGTCGGGTGTCTGGGGCTGGTTCGGCGGCGGCGCCGCGCAGAAGCGCAAGGAGACGCCCAAGAATGCCATCCTTGGGCTGCGGTCACAGCTGGACATGCTGCAGAAGCGTCAGAAGCACCTGGAGACCCAGATCGCGGAGCAAGACGGCATCGCACGAAAGAACGTCAGCACCAACAAAAATGGTACGGGCGCCCGCCAAGACCGCCGCCAACAACACTGCGAGCATGCTAGTCCGGGGGACGGGTCTGGATATTGAGATATTGAGATATGGGCGGTCATCTGGCACATTTTACTGACGCTCCAGTTTCCGCCCACAGCCGCCAAGGCCGCCCTTAAGCGCAAGAAGACACACGAGCACAGTCTCGACCAGACGGTGTCGCAGATCGGGACGCTAGAGCAGCAGATAAATGCGATCGAATCGGCCAACATCAACATGGAGACTCTGGAGGCCATGAAGAAGGCGGGCAAGGCCATGGAGGACATCCATGGCAAGTTGACGGTGGACAAGGTCGACGAGACGATGTGCGTGGCCCCTATCCCGTGTCGCCGAATTATTCTCTTCTCCGCGTATACCATCGACCCTACTGACACCCAGACGCATCTATTTAGGGACAAACTCCGGGAGCAAAACGCCCTCAGCGAGGAGATCGTCAACGCTATTACTAACAATTCGCTGGGCGACCCTATCGACGAGGACGAGCTGGAGGAGGAGCTGGAGGCGCTGGAGCAGGAGAAATTGGACGAGCAGATGCTGAATACTGGCACAGTACGCGCCTCCGAGCCCATCCACCGCCTACCACAGGCAGTCAATGGGGAACGTAAGTTTTTGATCCAGGCTGCCCTTGGGAGGGTCTTGAAACGGCTACTAACTCGTTATAATAGCCAAGGGCAAGGCCAAGGCTATCGAGGAGGACGACGAGGAAGCCGAGCTCAGGAAGTTGCAAGCAGAGATGGCCATGTAGGACCTCGGAGATATGGTCTTGCGAATGGCGCCCTGGGTCAGCCGCATGCATGTGGTGTTGATGGGGCTGGAGATGCGCTCATGCACGCCTTGTGGGCGGCATACGGTTTCATATATCCCCTCTTGCCCATCTCCCTTACTTGGTACATTCAAGACTGTTCCTTGTAACAGACCGCCCGTCCTCGTTTTGTCGTCCAGAGACTTTTTCTTATTGCTTTGTCTGGCGTTTTTGTTGGCATTTCTCATCTTTGTTACCGATGCAAGACGGACCGAGCTGGCGTTTTATCTTTTTAATCTACTCACCTTGGTTTATGCGCAACCCTTCGCGGGGTGAGATCTACTAAACTATTTACGCCGCGTGCCATTCCAAGCTAGTGCTTTCGAAGTATTGTTTTAGAACACGCATCAAACGCTCTAGTTCTAGTCTAGTTGTTTCATGGGTTTATGGCAGCTTAATCTTCAGCTCGCCACCGACCTGATTGCAGAGATTCCTGATCCACATCGTTGCCCATCGCCTACAGCTTTTGAAATGGCCTCGCTTTCAACGCCCGCTATCATCGTGGCTGCGTTCTGGGCTACCGTTTCGCAGCTCTAATCCAACCGCATCGGGAGTGCATGTCGAGTTTCTACCAACTTGCCAGGCAACTTAACCTCACCTCTACCACCCACCATATCCCACCTCGCATCTACCCTCGATTTCGTAACTTTCAAACACCTTCACTTTACAACCGGACCAGACAAGATTCTTGCACATACTCTCAACGCCCCGGGCTTAGACACAGCCCACGCACATTCCATAGCACTCGCCTTTGCCGATATCAATCAGTGCTCCGTGAGTGTTCCTTGTGATGAAATGACTAAAAAAATTAAGAATCATCGAACCTCGCCGCCTATCACCTGTATGCTCGCCTTAGCTTGTGCTCCTTCCTGCCATAAACCCCCTTTACCGTAAAACATTACTGAATGGGTCATGTAATCTCAACCAGGCGCATATGGTCCATGCCTCAAAACCTTTGCAGTTCGAAGAACGAGAACGGGGATTGGGGTTAGCTGTGACCAAGAGACGGGCGCTGTGGTGAGGTAGATGAAATGTGGAATTCCCCGGGATTAATCACCGCAACAAGACAAACCCAGCACGAACCTCCCATCATCTCTATTCTCTTTCGTGATGCACTCGCACTACATCCCCTCCCGCTTGACGCTCGCCCGATCCTTGAAGGCAGGCAGAATAGCACCGTGGCCCCCGAGGGCGAGGCAGATTTTCGCGGCCAGCTTATCATTCCTCTCCTGGTATTCCACCAGGACCCGATCCAGCTCGTTCTTCATCCGCTCGCTCTCGGCATCCAGCTCCTCGCACAAGCTGTTTGCCTTCTTCCAGCGCGCGTATCCCTCCTGATCGCACGCTTCGAGTTGCTTGTCTTTGAGCGCCAGCTCGGCTCGGAGGGCTTCTACCTCGTTTTGGGCCGATGCCAGCTTCTCGTGGTAGTCGTCCAAATCATTGACCAGCTCTCGGGCTTTCGAAAGCATGTTTTTGGGAGATGGTCTCGAGAGCTGCGGATCTGCCGGCTTGGGCTGTTGGCCGTCAGTAAGGGCGGGTCTCTCGCTGCGCTGATCGCTGTTCGGTTGAGCGGTATTGTCGGGCTGGCTAGCGATGACCTCGGGGTTCGCGGGCGGTGGGGTTGGCTGACTGGCATTACCGGGTTGGCTGGCGATGACCTCGGGGCTTGTAGGCGGTGGGGTTGCCGTGGCAAGACGAGGCCTTTTTGGCTCTCTCTCAGCGAGTGAGCCGCTATGGTCGTCCGAATCGTCTCGTCCCGAGCCATTATCAGACGCACCGTCTCCATCCAGGCCAGCGCTCACCCCCGAGAGATTGGGAGATGAGCTCAGGAACACAGAAATCTCGTCTCTGATGGATGTCCGGTTGAGAACTGCATTACAAGGGTTGATAGTGTCCCAAGGAAGCTCGTAGCCTCTATCAATGGCTCCGATGGTTGTGCCGAGGATCTTTGCAATCAAGAGCTCGGCAGAGAGGAGCCCGAGCACGCGAGCCCAGGAATTGTTTGCCCTGCGGGCTTTGGGGTTTGCGATATCGATACGGCCTGACCGGATGCCGTATTCCTTTCCAATATATTCGGCCAGCTTGTCGACTTGCCAAATCTTCTGTCCACCACGTCGAAACACACTGTAGCATCCAGCTAGGTCCATGCCGAGAAGCTCGTTGCAGATTCGGAGGATCCTAGCGCGAGGCAAGGTTCTCGGACGGCTGCCCTCTCGGCGATAGCATCTTACTGCGTACGAAACAGCCTTGGGAGGAGGCTTCGTGCCAGGCTGGCTCCACTCTAGCAGTGCTTGCCACTCCTCATCAGTGGGCTCAGGCAGCATACCACCGCCGGCGGCCTTGAATGCGGCCTTGAGCTCGTCCGTAGTGTCGGTGGCGATATGAAATCCAGGTGGAAGCGACATGTTCGCCCTTTAGACCCTCGCTGGCAGTTTGCATTGACTTGCACGGCCCGGGAAGTACTTGAAGACGGCGGGCCGGACGGCAAAGGTCGCGTAGTGCTGACGGTCTTGTTCTGGATTGCTACCTTGGCTCCGGGCCTTGGAAGGTGGCAGCCGAGGTTTAGGTAGACTAGATTGAAGTCTTGTAAGAAACACGAGTCGAGACGCGAAGTCGCAAATTTTGTATGCAAAGCTTTACTGGAGGTGGAGGTTAGGATGGGCAGTCATGCCCACCATAAAAGCTTACAATCCAGCGGCCGAGGAAGCAGATGAAAGGCCGAGCGTCGGAAACGCTGGGAATTCTTGGAGTGATCCGGCCGATGATATTTGCCAACCCGCTTTCTTCGCTCTGCTGACCAGTAACGGGAGGAGAATGATATGAGACGCCTGGTGTTCTGGTATGGAGGCTTCCCCGCGGGATAGAAGTCTGCTTTTCGACCTTGGTAGCTACTGAGATGGCGGGAGGAGACGTGAGGAGACCTGAGGATGGCGAGGAGTGAGGTAGCAAAGGAATTGTGGAAGGAATTAAAATCGATGCTTGGATAATTCTTAACCAAGATGTGCCCTGGGACCAATCAGCAAGCACAGTGGCAAATATTTTCAAGCGGTAGTCAAAAGGAATTGATTTCCTAGGTTCCTAGTCTTTACGTCGCCGCCTTAACCATAATCCAACCGTTGCTTTTGCCATTCCATGTTTGCTGTTGATACATGAGGAGCCGCCGCTTCAAGCAAGCGTTGCTCGGGCTGCTGCATCTAGAGTCGCCTAAGCCACAAGACGAACTTGGCTCGTGGACGCGTTATTTCCAGGAATGGAAGGCGCCGGGTCTCGCCATACCCAAGCCTTTGAGCAGACCGAGGGCGTTCTAAAGGAGAGAAGCCAGTAAGAAGAGGAGCTTCACATATAATGTATGTCTTCATCACTGATCCGGGTAGTGGAATCTATGTGGAGGTCATTTGGGCATCGGATGCAGGGGATAATCGAGGAGTGGCATTGAGAGAATTCCATACTGTGAGGAGGAATCTAGCGCAGATGCCGCAAAATCCTGAACCTAAAGCAACGAGATATCCACAGACTGCAAGCAAGGAGCTATCACCAGTATGGACTATCACATCAGTGACCTCGATCGGAAACGAGACCGGCGCCAACACTTCACCTGGACCGCGACGTAATATAAAGGCCTCGAGGATGCCTTACAAAACATAGAGAAGGTGAAATATGCCACTCTTGTCAGCAACCAGAGGAGCGTCTACGTCTCCAGCAAGATGTCTATACCCGAGCACCTCTGAGAACCATATTCCGCCGCGGCTGATTATCACCTCTCCACCCGCTAGGTCCGGCTACCGCTACAATCAGTACCGCGGCCCGGCAATCGAGCAAAAGAAATCAGGCTCGTCAAAGATCACAATCAAGTCTCGCGCCGTGACCGAAGCAGGGCTTTCGCGTACACAAAGCACAACCCGAACACGCACCAGCCCTTCGAACCCCGGAGAGAGGAGCAGCAGCGACCTGGACGGCAGCAAGATGCTCGGCATGCTCCTACCCACGCTCTAGTCTACGAGATCTTGGCGCTCCTCACCGCACGCACCACGCCCCCGAGCATGGACGAGACCTTCCGCTCAAGCAACCCAACCCTCCACTTGGGCACCTACCGAACAACCCGGTTCGGCTTCCTGGAGAGGAGCAAGGCTGGCGCGACGGCAAACTTTACCTCGCACGTCGCTAGTTAAAATGGACAACCTGCGAGCCCACCACCAGCTGGTCGGGACCTATAAACCCCCATGAACTTGGTCTTTTCCAACCCATTGCTCAAGTGCCAGCACTCAGGGGCAATGATCCGTTGCCGAACACTACGCTCACGGCATGTCGCCCCTGAGCACGTGTGGCAACGAGATTGGGGCACCCCGAGCCACAGAGACTTTGAGTGTTTGCTCCAAGTACGGTCAAGGTATTTCGCGTGAGTTTGCCGCAAAGGGGAGGAGATATACCAATGTATGCAATTATACGCCGTTGCCCAGCATCGACTAAAAAGTCCCGTGCGCCGCAAAGACAAATGATGCAAGAAAGATATAAACAGACACCACAAAGCAACGCAGCGTTAGGCGGAAGCCATATACATGACATGGTGACCAGAGTGAGTCAGGTTGGAGATATGAGGAAATGAGCAAGACCGGAACCAGTCCATACCATACCGTTACAGGGTGAGGAGAGATAGGATGCGAGTGCGAAGAAGAAAAAGACGGCAAAAAGGACAACGAAGAAAGCCGTTCAATGAATGCGTACCCAAGAACGGAGCTTGAGGGAGGGTATAAACGTCGTCGCTTGCGGAACTCAACACTTGAGAAAACGAGGTGTCCTCTGCATAAATCATGGCCGTTTTTTTTATTGTTTGTCAGTAGATTTCCTGATCAAGGAGTCTGACGGCTTGACACGTTGCGCCCACTCACTATCATAGGGGCTGCATGTTAGTAAACCGAGGCAGATGGGCTCGTGACGGCACTGGCTTAGGGTACTCACGTCCAGCTTCCGTCGTAAATCTTCCTCTTCTCGGGGTTCCCGTACTGGGCCTCACTTAATGCGGCATCAATGATACAGGCAGTGACACCAGTTCCGCAACTCGAGATGACAGGCTTGGCGGGGTCGACCCCCCTGTCCTGGAAGATCTTCTTGAGCTGATCGGCCGGCAGGAAGGCCTTGCTCTTAGGGTCCAGCAGAACATCGATGGGCACGCTGATGGCGCCGGGCATATGGCCGGACGACAGGCCGGGTCGGGGCTCGTCGGCAGTACCATCGAAGCGGCCGGTAGAGCGGGCATCGAGAACCTGGATGCCCTCAGAGCCCTCTTTTTTGTAGTCAAGAGCAATCTCGCGCACATCCTCAAAGTCGATAACCTTGTTGTGGTCGAGCTCGGGGATGGGGTAGGTGCAGCACTCGACGTTGTAGAGGTTGCCGCTCTCGATGGGCAGGCCCTGCTCGCACCAGAGGCGGAAGTTGTTGAGCAGATGGACCTTGGGGTGACCAAAGACACGGAGAGTCCAGGCCACACGCGGCGCAGAGAAGATTCCGAGCTCCTTGGTGTCGTAGACAACTACGGTGTCGTCGCGGCGCACGCCAAGCTCGCTCATGGCCGAGGCGAAGCCCTTGGGGTCGGGCAGCATGTGGGGGTACGGGCTGTGGCGATCGATGACCTTGTCCAGGTCGAAGAAGCGCGACTTGGGGATGCGGGCTTGGCGGTAGGACTCGATGCCGGTGCGGCCCTCGGGGTCGTTGGGCAGGAACCAGGCGGCGCTGAGGCAGATGACGCGGGGGTCGGTGCTGATAGACGACGGCGGGCTCTTCTGGAGCGCCTCGTGCACCTCGCCGGGCGTGACGAGGTACGACGAGAATGTCCTGCGGGGTGCCGAGGTGGAGAAGCCGCGGTTGGCCGAGGTGGCGCGCGAGAAGGCGGCCGCCGTCCTCGAGACGCCCGCCCGCGCGGCCGTGAATCCCAGGGCCATGGCGAAGGAGGAGAAGGTGGCAGTGGAGGAGAGAGGAGGTCTCGGCGTCGACAATTGCAGACGACCAGGAGATATGCGCGCAGCGCGGGCGTCTCGCAGCACGCTGTCCGGGAGGGTCTGTCGGCCGGGTGGGGCGAGTGCAGACGCTTCTGCGAGGGGTGAGAGCGGTGGTGGATGAGCGAGGGTGCCCAGAGATAAGACGGAGGCGGCAGATGCAGGGCAGTTGGTATATCGAGCAAGATGGCGAAAAAATGACGAGCCCAAGATAGCGGGTCCTGCGGGCCCTGTCACAGCAGACTTTCACAAGGGCGTTCCTTGACAGCAGCCAAGAAGCGACTGACACACGGGATTCGCAAACGAGTAAAGCGGCCAGCTAAAAGAAATACGCAAGGAATAAACCATGGGGATCTGGTGCGATGCACATACTACCTACAGGCTATGGCCGGTTTAAGTTTTTGTAAAGAAATGTGAATGCGGGGTGGATGCCGTGGCACTAACAAGATGCGCCGGACAAAGAAAAAAATAACGGTGGTATGGTAGGAGAAGCCTTGCGCCCACCAACCAAATGACTGGCCGTTTTTGTTTGGTGGATGGATTGGCGGCCGGGACCCTAGTCCCTAGCATGTGGCCAGTGCTTTCCATGTGCTTCACCAACACCACAACGGCGCTCCCGCAAACGATCGAGCTCAGCAGCCAGGACCCCTCATTGGAGCTCCAACAACCTCGGGCTGGTCTGGGTGGTGGCTGGCGACAAAACGAGAGCTTGCCAAGCAAGGTGCAAGCCCCTCGGATAGGCGTCATTGTGCATCCCGACCTGCCCTGCCTTATCAGAAGCCGAGCTACAGTAAGGAAGAACGCGCTCGCGACCACATCCATCCAAGCTCACCGTCACGCGGCAAGCAAGTCGTGCATATTGCAGAATATCACGACACACTGCCGGCTTCCATCCTGGACCCTCAGTGGGCGCCCCAGCATGAAGGTCAAGATCAAGCAGTGGAACGCGGTGGCTACGTGGCGCTGGGACATCCCCGAGGACGACGTCTGCGGCATCTGCCAAGTCCACTTCGATGGCACATGCCCGACGTGCAAGTACCCTGGAGACGACTGCAGTCTATGTAGGCCCGCCAGCTCCCCCCCCCCCCNCCGCGCCGCGCGCGCCGTCCGCCGCCGC